CATTCTCTTGTGTATTTCCTGCGATTTTAAAACTCTTTAGAACACAAATCGAATATTTATGGGAAGATAGGCCAAAACTAGAATACTGTACTCCAGGCAATTTTGTGATGAGTAAACAAGATACGATTTCTACAACAAATGTGGTTGGAATAGTATGACACGGAAAATCATTCTCAAACAACAAGATCAACAGCTTCATTCAATTATTCATTCGTCATTTAACAGATATTCATTGAGGATGCAACAATATATGGTAGGCAATCTTCTGAGAGCTCAAAAGCTTACCCAACCAAGGATCTCTAAACGCATTAAACTCGCATTCAAGCAAAGGAAGTGTGGCATTTAAAAACGTTACAAATTTTACAATTAATTATCTTGGTAAAAAGGTCTACAGGAAAGAAAAAGAGATCAGGGTAAGAAGATCAGAAGTGCTACTGGTGTGGGGGAGATTCAAGTATTTTGCTAGAATTGTCAGGGACTCCGAAAAGTGGTGGCTTTTGAGCAAAGGCTTGGAGGAGGAAAGGGGAATTAGTCAAGTGACTGTGTGCAGAAGAGGAATGATCCAGGGACAGGGAGGCTGGGGAAAGGCCTCAGGCAGGAGAGCATGGTCTCAGCATCGCACAGCAACGGGAAGGAGGCCCTTGCAGCCCAGTGATGGAACCAGAGCATGAACGACTCTGAGATCTGCTTAAGATCTCTGGATTTTACTGAGGGAGAAAGGGACCACTGGATTGTGTACTCAAGGCAGACTGCAGAGAGCAAGAAAGAAACAGACATAACGGGGGTTCTGAAACCATTCAAGGGGAGAGATGGCAACTCAGACTAAGGTGGTCGCCGCGGAAGGAGAAAGAAAGGATCAAAATCCAGATATAACTTGCATTTATCAAGTGCCAATTTCGTGGCGGGCATTGTGAAAAAAGCATTATCTCATTCATCCCATCATTGCTTTTGGCTCTGGCATATGGCCAAATGTGACCTAGTCTATTCTTTTTTGTTGTTTTTGAGACAGAGTCTCACTCTGTTGCCCACATTAGAGTACAGCAGCATCATGATAGCTCACAGCAACCTCAAACTCCCAGGCTCAAGCGATTCTCAGCCTCCCAAGTGGCTGGTACTGCAGGCACGTGCCACCAAACACAGCTCATTTTCTATTTTTTAGTAGAGACAGGGTCTGACTCTAGCTCAGGCTGGTCTCAAACTCCTGTCCTCCCACCTTGGCCTCCCAAAAAGCTAGGATTCTAAGTGTGAGCCACAGTGCCAAGCCTATTTTTTTCCCTTATAACAAATAAATAGTTAACAGAATAAGTTGAGATAATTTTTTTAAAAAAGCAAATTTTTTTAGACTTTTGCCCAGTCTCTATTTATTCATTTATTACAAAAAATACAGGCATTTCTCCATTTCCACGTTAGTACAGGACCATAAAAATGACTGTCTTTAGGTGATGGGGGGGAAATTACGGTTCTTTATGATTGTTCCATGACCTTTAAAAATCTTTGTCCAAACATTAAAAGTTCTCTGACTATGATTTACAAATATACAGAAAAATGAAAAGAACAGAACAATTAAAATTTATTTAACACCCTGTAATTTAGAGCACCAGAAACCCTGGCGATGAGACCACTTTATTTCTTTGTAAAACATTTATGATCTGCCTGTTATGGTGTCCTCTCTATTTGGTAAGAGCATCTTTGCTGTGTCTTGGCAAATGGTCACCCCCATCCCTTAGAATCAGCCTCCAGCATTTCCTCCTTTGGGCTTTCAACATGGTGAAATAATTCTGGGACGTCCGTTAAGGTGAAATTTTTCCCCCAGTGTCATTTTCTCTGGGACATCTTCCACCTTTCACTCACAGCCATTTAATAAGCTCACTTTCACCAGGTTCTTCTGGCCGTGAATCTAGTCTTGTAAAGGGTGAGACTGTCCAGATTCCATAGCTGGATAATCTTTATATACAATTCCTTTTATGTTCAATTGCAATTTCAGCTCCAGGGTTATCAGTTTTTTGTTTCTTTGGTGCACTTTCATCTATGTTGGCCAATTCCACTTATCCAGTTTTGAAAAACGTTCCATGTGTTGAGCACTGGATGACAGGGAGGTAACACAGCTACACACTTTGCTGTCCATGCATGAGCTGAATAACTGAGGCACAGATTGTCATGTCTGGTCACTGATCATAAGGCACATCTATTCTTGGGTAATGATTCATATTCTTAGTGTTATGATGTTACAGAAAAAATTCCAGGCTTTCCCTTAGGGATCGTTTTATCTGCAGTAATATGATCCCATTGGAACTGCAGTGTGACTATCAAGTCCTCAGTTCCCCACCAGCGATGAACCAATTATCTTCCAAGGTCCCATCCTACACTCAACAGGGTTTTTTAAATTTTTTTAGAGATGGGGTCTGGCTCTGTTACCCAGGCTGGAGTACAGTGACCTGATCATAGCTCACTGTAGACTTGAACTCCTGAGTTTCAACAATCCTCCTGTTTAGCTGGGACATAGGTGCACATGACCACGCCGAGCTCATTTTTCTATTTTGTAGAGAGACAGGATCTCATTATGCTGCTCAGACTGGTCTCAAACTCTTGGCCTCAAAGTGAGCCTCCCACCTCACCCTCCCAAAGTGCTGGGATTAGAACCATAAGCCACCATACCCAGCCTCACTCACATTTTATGGTTCTGTGAAAAGGCAAAAGTAGCAAAGAGAATTCCTTGCCTGTGCAAGTTCAGTGGGAGAAATGAAGCAAGCCTTTTCCATGTTTATTGTATGGCCCATACCTGGCCTTTTGTTAAACAGAGGAAACAAGAGGCTATTTCATTAGTAGACTTAAGTAGTCGTGTCGTATAAGTGGTTTTACGCAAGGTGATAGTGTTGTCTTTTATCTCAAAAATAACATAACAACAAAAGCAACCTGCTGGTCTGCTGATGACTTCCACATGAAAGTTATAAACAAAATAGCATGTGAAGAGATTATGGGCCGTGAGGCCATCATTAACATTGTGCCTGGGTAATGTCAGCCAAAGAGGAGCCAGACAGAAATGCCCAAACATCAGTCACAATCTAGACGTCAGACCCCCTGCTTAATTTCCAACAGTCAGAAGTGGCCACTGGCCAGGCACCAGGCAGAGAGCACAATGTGCCTCTGAATATATAAACATGTCATCGATGCCTTTCTATTCCTAGTTTAGTAGAAATAAACACTTCTATCAGAAAGGAACTCTATTTTTCCATCTTTAATACACTAAATCAAGAAATCCCTCAACACTGAGCAAACTTACCGCACCCAATAAAGTCTAAGTCAACTCCTTAGCATCTACTGACGGTTCAACTGCTGTCAACCAACCTCTGGAGTCTCTGCTGCTCTTTCGCAAACTGTAGTGACCAGAAGTTTTAGCTTCCCTCCACCTACGACTCAGCAAAAGTAAAGGATTGAGACTTGAGAAGGTCTTGAATGTCGTCCTGAAATGTCACAGAAACAAATTGGAACATACTAGCAAGTATAGATAAGCCTTTACCTTGTAAAGAAGCACCAATAATGACCCCATTTCACAGGTCTATTTTCTCCTTGGAATTTATTTTAACATGCCCAAATTTCCTTAGTTCCCCCAATTTTTCTATCCTCCACTGGTTCTTATCTCAATAAGTGGCCAAGCCAAG